ACATGAGGCAGGTAAAACTGACCTCTAAAGCTAACTCAGTTCCAAAATACAGTGCTTGATGAAAAAAAAAAACAATATATTTTATCTCTTTCTTTTTATGTATTCTAGATAACATTACTGCACAACTCTGCACAGATAAAAACCAGAAGACCTAGGCCAGAAGATTTTGACCAGCTTTGACAGATTCAGTTGAAATTAAATTATCAAGAGAACTTAGCATCTACTTAAGTGCCTAAGTTTCTTTAAAGAAAGTGCTGAGCATATCACTTCGGGGTGCTTTGAATCAACTATCAACATCTGATAAGCTAAGCTCTTTCAAAAATTAGGTACTAAACTACTAACACAGCTCAGGGGAACTGGGCTTGGGGAAAGGCTGTCCAGCATAAAACAGACTAATCAAAGCAAGAGGGAAAATGATGTACTTTGAGTGATGCCCTTGACCTGCGCCAAGGTATTTCCTGCAAATGCTCTACACTACCTATTTCAGTCTCTCTGCCTAATATCTATCTTTAACGTTCTCCCAAATGCTTAAAGGCATTTTCGTCCAGTGACACAGCACCCATAACATGGTGATCTGTAACCTTGCAAAGACTTTGGCATGCAGATGAAGTTAAGCACAGCCTCAGAGCCTTTGGTAAGACTTCTCACTACGTGTAAAGTTAAGTACATTCATAGGTCTTATCAGGATGGTGGCCAAAGATTATAGAGGCATCCAAGCTGGCTGATATAGTCAAGCCTGTTCTGTGGCACGTCTATTTTAAACTTGGGTCTTCTGGTTTGTATCTTAAAAGGTCTCTACATGTCTTAACTGATCTGCAGAACAAACTAACTTCGCAAAGTGAAAACAGTTTAGCCTTGATAAATGAATACTAACACAAAAGAGCAACTCTCCATGGTTCACGTACATCTATAGACACCACATAAAAGGCAAGGAATTGACTAAATAGTTCTTAACCAAGCAAGTAACTTTACCAGCTAAACACAACAAATTGCCTGTGAAAGTAGGCAGTAGGATGCTGACACACAGGCAAGACCAAAACTTTATTAACTGGGTAGCATATCATAATCTTAACCATAATTACTTAATTATCTAATTGGACAGAAAATCCTTTTTAATGAATAATTCTATTCCCATTCCAATGGTATTTTTCTCAGTATTCCTTAAGATTTCAAACTTGTTAAAAATTGTTCTCGGTTATAAAACAAATACGTCCACATATTATAGACAACAGTACCACTAAATAGGCATCTTCTTTTCACTTCTGTTTTTTATTATTTTTTTTTTTTAGGGGAAAGAAACAAAACCTTTTCACCATGTTAATGAAAAACAAGGAGTATTAGAACAAATTGAGGGGCAGTGCCTGGCTGTTACAAACGGGCAAGGATAGCTCTAACAAACCAATTTATAATCAGGGATATTTTAGACTCATTTCACAATACTTCTAAAATGAAATTAGTAATATAATAGGACAATTTTATACTTTTATCTGCTAAATTTAAGCCCAGGGCAAATTTAGTCCAAGAAATAAAACAGGAGGTAGATGCTCAGGTTGCTTAAGTTGCCACAGCTCTAGCAAAAGCAGGGCTGTGAGAGTTTACATTAACTGGCAATTTGCTCCATGAAATGTGCAATTAACTCAGGAGGCTTTAAATATAGTTCTCATGATTTAAAGGCCCTCAAAAAGATGCTGAAATTGTGAAATTTAGAAAGAACCCTGACGAACTGTTACATAAATACGGGTAAGACAGAAAAGAAGAAAATGAGAGGGACAGAGGAATCAAACTGACTGGAAGAGGCATCCAAAAGGATGGGACAATTTTTAAGAAATTGTTTAACTACTGAATACAGCTTTCATTAAGCTCTGTGGAGAATGGCCACCTCCCAAGAAAAGCCACAGAAAGGAAGTATCATTAGAAAGCTTATGACTTTGTGAGCCCACCCTTACATTCAAGGCAGCAAACTGTTGCGCTGTATTGTTGAGCAGGATGTAAAGAGCCTGCCAAGCACAGCCCACAGACCCGCTAATTAACTGAACTGATTGTGTTTGTTTTGGAACCGTTTGCCAACAAAGGAATGTGTCATGCTGATTAGTGAGAGAAGGGTATGTAATATATGTGTATTCAAACCCCGAGGAGTGCATAACCCAGGTATTCACTCTGTTTGCTCAAGGACTGACAAAAATGACTCTCAAGCAAATAACCTGACCAAAGAGAAAACCCCAGCCCTCAAGAGGGGCCCTCCTTTTCTCTCAGCTGTGTCTGTCTAAAGAAGACCCATCCTTCATAAATTCCTACTGAAGACTGCTCCAGAAACTGCTGAGACTATTTTGGAGAGAAACACTCTCTCCACCTCAAAGCGGACCTAAGAGACCACGAAGATGGAAAGGTAACAGCCAGCTGAGAACCACCTTGGAATTGTAGTGGCCTCTCCGACAGCTGTCATTCTTCTCTCTGAAGAGTGAGAAAGGTGAGGCGGTAGCCATTAAAACAAATGCCTTCTCAACACAGACACACACCAAAGAGACTTCACTTTTCAAACATTCGACAGGGAGGTGAAGTTTGCAAAAGCTGTCATGCACCCACCTTCAAGTATTTCCAACCTCACAGCCCAGTTTGCTGCTAGAATTAGTAGCATGCTCAAAAGTGAATGAGCAACATTCAAAAGCAAGAAGGAAAAACATGGTCTTCAGAGGTCTGCTGCTCTTCTCTCCTTAACTCAGCAGCTACAGCCAGGGTATTTGGCAGTCTAGGACTGAGAACAAAATGTGAATACTATGCTGTAGACAGCAATTCCAGAAAACCAGCATGGAGAAAGGGAATTCTCACTGCACGTTGTGGACTCAGAATATTGGAACTAAATCACAGTTTACTCAGAGCTCTGTATGCCACTTAACTACTGGGAAGCTGAAGACATGTCATCAGAAATGTCAGGTATAATCCCAAGTCTTCACATGAACTTTTCGTGACTTGCTGTTCCATCTGCCACAGGTTACTCTCTACATCTACTTATTTCTAACCGGGCTCCTCGCCTTACACCTGTCATTGCAGCGGCCAGCACACCTACCTCCGAAATCTCTCTCATCTGTAAGAGATGGAAGCAAACACAAACCCCCTCTATCTGGCCTTCTCCCTCACTGCTTTGCAGCTGATGGAACAGCAAATCACACAAGCTCCTTTTGCTGGCATCACCTGCCTCCAGCCTGAAGGTGGAAAAGAGCAAAAAAAACGGAACTGAAATAATCTGGCCAGTTTCACAGAGGTGCACGTGCACACATGAGCAGTAATGAGAAAACTAACTAGGAAGGGAAATGGAAAATGCTGGGGATAAAAGCAAGGTTTAGTGATAAGGAGTACAAAAGGAGTAAGGAGAATGACCTCTGACAAAATAAGAAAGAGAAATACTGGAGAACTTTTCATGCTGATTGTGTTTTAATTAAAATCATTAACAAAGACTGCTGTCTTTGGCATGACATCAACCATGACTTCACATTTGTGAAACATGAACAAAAGTCCTTTCTGACTTCTAATTCACATAAAACCAGGAGCTAGAGCAGCTTCCTTTGGCTTTCACTGAACTGCTGACAAATACTATTTGATTCCAGAAGGTTTTAAACTCTGTAATTGCAAGGTATGTCTGATCTCAGCTGAAGGGTGGGGGAACAATATACACTCAACACTGTTTTTGTGACCAAAAATCCCCCAGACAAATCAAATGCACAGACATTTCAAGTCAGCCTGTCTTCCCAGATTCCCAATCTTTCGGGAATATCTTCAATCGCCTTTTATACAGTCTCAATAGACATCTTATGTTTTATGTCATCTTAGTCTCTCTTTTTTTAACTCTGCCTATCTCACCATGCACCCTAGATACATTCTTTCTTGAAAACCATTTACAGAGCTCAGCTGCACACCTTGTTTAGCTTATGTCCATTGCTTTGTCAGTGCATGTTTTAGAATAAGAGTCTAGAAAAGAATGTGCAAACAGTCTTTGAAACTCAGGTCAGGCTAAAAATCCCTGAAGAGTAGTCCTTGGTTACTTGTAATTTAACATCTTTGTGCACACAGGGGAATCATATTCATAATGAAGCCCTTTTAACAGGCTTGTCCTGATTGTTTCCAAAGGTGGCTCTTCATTATTTTTTTTTCCCTTCAGTGGAACACTTTGGAGAACAAATTAAAATGACTGCATTTGAAACAGCCAGAAATGTACTTATCTATGGAGGAATGCTGTGCTGTCAGATATACCGTCTTTCTGTTGAGTTTAAAAAAAAAAATAAATTCCTTTATTCAAAATCCAAGATACATTTGAAAAAGAGTAGTAACATTGCTGCATTGCCAAGTCTGCTCTGGTTTCTTCCATTTTGCTTCTAGGTTTTCCATGCAACTCCTGTCCCTGATCTGGCATCCAGTACTCCATATAATGTGAAATAAAGGTTCTTTTGTTTGGCTTAGGACTGGCATACACTTATATTTATTTTGTAACCACCTCAGAATAGCAATGTCATTAAAACAAAATCTCACGTACATAGACATAGAGGAGCATGGACAGAGAAAGCAGAGAATTAGACATAATATTTCATGGAGAAAACACTTCAGAATAGATGGTTATTGTTTTATAATGGACAATCCCAGTACATCATGGGCCCAGTGACATCACATTCCAGAAAGATGTCTGTGATCACTCCAGAGAACTCTCCTGGCATTTCAGGATATTTTGCAAACTCAGAAGAGCTCTGGATAAATCACACTGCATGGTGCTACTGGGTACTTTTTCCTTTTGGAACAACTGTTCTGAGACTTAAAGGGCTTTGGGAAGTAGCTCTTCCCATCTATTTCCAAGTCTGTTCATGGTGGCCTCTCCAGACCAGTAATATAGTGAAATTGCCCAGATATGTGCATTAGTGGGATCCAGTCCCTAGGTATTTAAGTTAGAGGTCACAAGACTGAGAATTCACAAGGATATGACATGTGAGCCAAATGTATGACTGACATTACAGTACCTGCTTGTAGAAATGTCTTCAAAGGGGTAAAGAATTTCTCCATTGTTGCAAATCTCACAGATGAAACCCTTTTGACTACAAAGGCTGCAGCTGTACACATGAGAGGTGGCAAACTTGATCACCTTGCCCAAGAAAGGAGCCAGCTTTCCTTCAATAACCTGAAACGAGTAGAAGACAACATTGAATGAACACCCAGAAAAATTACCAGAACTCCCTGAAGGACTGAGACAATATTTATTAATACAGACGTGCAGCTAAGTGCTACTGGTTAAAACAACAGTAAAGTTACTTCCCAACAATTATAGCTCCATGAAATCACAAGTGACAACAGTGGCCAATGAACTGGCAATGATCCAAAAGTAAAACCAAAGTTACTGTCTCTCTGTAAGCACACAAAATTATACTAAGACACAAAAAAGTAGATAGGAAAAGAGGTTAAGGCTTCCAAATTATCATCTGACTGACAGCTATGGATACTGCCTTACATTTATGATTTTCATTTCTTTTTAATTTTTATGCACAAATTGCAGTTTTGTCTTTGTTCCTGTTCCTCCAACACACAAGGGGTTTTTTGCATATTTTTTGTGAATGGAACCCTGGCTTTCCTCCTTTAGAAAAGTTGTGTTTCATTGAAAACCATTAAAATACAATACTCCCCTCATTGCAAAAATGAATAAATTCTCAGATAAACTCTTGAATAGGAACTGTGTTTTTTTCCTTCAGTGTCCAGCTCTCAAATCAAGAAGTCCCTCACTGCCAGACAATCCTGCTAGACCATTAGAAGTGATTAGCACTCCCTGTGTTGGTGTGAAAAAACGGCCATGCAGTATAGATTAAACTGCTAGCCACAACACTCATCTAAATTTGTGACTTGGTGACAATGCCTCAATAAGGGGTGCTATTCAGGCAAAATACTTTCCATTCAGATCAAACTTCCAGAGACTTTAAGGAATTCTGCTGGTGTAGGCAATAATGAAGATGGAATAAGGCCCTAAGTGTATATTCTTCTCTCCTGGGCTTCCTGTGGTCTGAATGGCAGCCTGCCAGATTAGTGATAGAAATGTGTCACGGGATTTGATAGTGACCTCCTATAAAAAGGAAAAAGAATGCAATAATTGCTGATTGAAAGTTTGTACAAGGCTGTGTCCTGAAACCTAAGAGTGGGGAGATTTACACTTAAATGTGTGCCAAATTCAGTTCAGGCATCCCTTCCCTAAATATGGTAACACACCACTTATAATTTGGGTGTAGTGTAAATGAATCTAGAAGGTGAAGGCAGAGAAGAACAAGAGAAGCACGCCTTCCCTATGTAAAGTAGAAAGAAAATAAATTTTTTCTGCCAGGCAAGTTCCTGCCCACTAGCCAAGAAAGCCGCTATAAAAGAGTACACGTGGAAATGAAGGTGTGTAGGTAGCACTGATGCTGATGGCACTGAATGGCACAGGCTGAGATGTGCCCCCTCTTTGCCTTCAGCTCTCGCCTGCTAACAACATCTGCAACAACAGGAAGCGGCAATGTTATTGCTAGTACTGCAGATAGGACATCTGCTCATGTCAGAGGAAAAATGACGTTCCTATTGCATCCTGGTATAGGAAGATCCCCTTCAACCAGAATATAAACAATGCAGAGAAGCTGCTGCATGAAATCCAAAAGTGAAGCCATGGACCAAGGTACTGATATTACTAATCTAACAGATGGTCAGAAGTTAGTTTAGCTCCCTTAGGCTGGGTTTTGTTTTTCATTTTAAAGGAAGATTATTTTTTTTTTCCTTGTAGCCTCTAGAGTTACAGAGGGTCTGAAAGCCAAACAAGTTGTGGGTCGGGGAAAGACATGGAAGCTGATTAGCATTCAACAAACAGGAGGAGAGAAACAGTGAAGCCACCCAGCTACTGTGACATGGCTACAATTGCCCTCCAAAAAGCCATTTAGCACTAACAGATGAAATATGCATACAAAGACAATAAATAAACCACAATACATACATATTTTCCTTTTTTATGCTACAGGAACCACCTATCACAGGCCACAAAAGCTCAGCTTAAAATGCCAGGTTGAAGACAGAGCTGCAAACAAACTCTCTAACCCTGTGCTAATGTCACTATCAGCAAGGGCTTAAGAGTTAAATTTCTGAATTGATCACATTTTATATAATGTCATAAACAAAATTAACATAACCTATTACCTTCCTAAGCAGCAGGGGTGAATTTAAGTCTATACAAGACACAAAAGGTTTCCTATGCTGAAGAGCTCACAACCTAAGCAAGACAGATTGAGAGTGGGCAGCTGCCCCCAAGGAGCTGGTGTTATTTGTCCCTGTTTATTTATTTATTTGTATGGCTCGTTGTAGCACTGTAGTGGGTTGGCTTGTAACTCTGGCCACTGCAGACATACAATGAAGGTGATATCTTCAAAGAGCCATGCATGCCAATTTTGCAATGTGAATTACAGGCCATTTTACTGTATTATAGGAGGAAGACAAAATGCAACATCAAACTGATGTTATCACTATTTTTAGCATCTGTAAATTTTGTGTAATTTTGTTTCATCAGAGACCTCAGGGCTGTGCACAGGATATGACTTTTCCTTGCAGCCCTCTGTCATTCGTGTTTGTAGCTAATAAGAATAAAATCCTCATCTCCATTTACCCTCCTGGCAAGCAAAAAGGAAGATTTCTACTTGCTGTCCCCAAGAGGAGTTTATGGTAACACTTCCCTAGTGAGTGCTTTATGGCTTGGGAAAAGGAGTGTAGGACACGTAATCAAAGGTGTCAAAACTTCTCCCACAACAAAGCACCCTCTTGTGACAGCTGGAGGCCCAGGGTCGGTCAGTTTAGACAACCCAGAACCATGAAGGCAGAGTCACAGGATGTTCTCCCAGTTGATGCTGGAGTCTGATCTTGAGTTTCAAGGAAACACAAGTGATTAAAGAATAGAAGTGTGTTAAACAAGTGTAATGCATTATCCAGATATCAGGGAAATTGGGTTGGGGGGGAAGAAGCCCTCAAGAGGTGGTCTTGGCAGAGCCAGTAAGGTCTATGTCATTCTTTACAGCTGTATTTGTTACTAAAGCCTTTCTAAAGAGATGGAGACTCCACAGCCCCCATGTAGTCTAGCCCAGCACACGCCTATTCTCACTGTTGGAATCACTCCTAAGCTTTGACCCAAACCTTTCCTAAGGACATTTCAGTTTACAAAAAAGAGAAACTGTGAAATCACACTACAAGCTGCAGAACAGTCCATCACATTTCATAAGAAATGCAGAAATTTAGCACAAAACTAAGTTAAGAGTATGTCAAAGGAAGAGAAACCAGAAACTTCACCATTGGCTTATCCCTGTAACATAATACAGCCTCAACATGCACCTGCAAAGACTTAAAAATATATTCCTGCCCTCCCTGCCTCCAAAAAAAAAAAGAACATCAAGCTTAAAACAAATTAAAATTTTACTTAGTTCAGAGCCTCTTCTACCTGCAGTACACATGAAGAGCAAGGTATGCTTTCTAATCCAAAGTCTTCGTAGTGCAAGCAATTGTTTCATTTTCCAAAATTAAGAGCAAAAGGTGACCAACGAGGCCACCCTGGTCATCAACTGATGGAGGGTGCAATGCAGCTTTCTCTTCCTAAACTGGTCAAGGAACCCACCCCACAAGGATTCTGGACACGAGGCCATGCTCTTACAGTTAGCTTACCACTGCTGCACCTGGAATGTACTGGGGTACACTGCTTGGTGACAAAGGGAGGAGAATACTTGTGTTTGGAGGCCCAAAGCAAGTTGTGTCTCTGAACAGCCCCACTGTTCAGATCAGAATCACTGTCCACCTCTGTGGATCTGGAAAAACAGTTCTCTAAGCTCCCACAGGTCAGAAAGCTGTGGCTGTACACAGTGCAGCTCCCAACTGCAGGAAGGAACATTAGGAACTGTATAAAAATACACACCCACATGTACACATATAAAAGACAAGCCCTGCCCTCGAAGCATTTACAATTTAAGCCAACAAAACAAACACTGCCCTTTACACTAACTGCCACGTATCTCTCACCCTAAATGGGACAAACTGTGTTTTGGAGCAGCCTCCCTGCCCACACTGCTGAGAGCATCCCTCCAGCCAGAGCAGGGCTGCAGGTGCCAGGGCTGCCAGGGAGAGGAGAAGCTAGGAGAGGCAGCAGGAGCAGCAACCCATCCCACTGCCCAGCTCCTGCACCTGGCTCAGGAAATGAGGTGGCCCACTATGTGCAAAACAGGGCCGTTGCCCACAGACAACTTCCAGGAGCAGCACGTGTTGCCCAGGGGACCGTCACTGGCATCCCTGTGCCCTATCTCCACGACACATTTCTGAGCCCAGACGCTGCCCTGCAGAGGAGGAGAGGCACCCTCACCTCCGACACACACTGAGCTACAACTCTGTCCTGACCCCATCCCTCATCCAAGTTCTCCAGGCTGAGCACAATGCTGGTAGAAGTCCATCTCTGAAGGCCCCCGCTCCCCAGCCCTAGCCTTGCCCCTAAACCTCCTCCTCCCATGCAGCACAGTATAGGGGGTCCAAAACCCCAGCCCATTACACACAGCAGAGAGGAGCCAAGTCACTTTTCAGTCAACAAAGATGTCCTTGTACGAGAACATAGTTATCAGCATGAAAGAGAGTTGCACAAACTAGTCCCACTGGAGAGCAACGTAGTGAGCACAGTGTTGCAATATATATGTTTTCATATTAAAAAACAAACTAGGAAACTGCCCAAGGTAACAGTGGCACAGCTTCTCTGGTGAGAGTTCTGACCCAAAGAGATGGTAACCTAAACTCATGGCTTGTAATAACTAAACAGAACAAGACAAAAAAAAAAAAGCATGAAAAAAACCTAACACAAAGTTAGAGTTTGTTCCAGTCCCTGACAATTGTTCCAACTAGAAAAGACATAATAGAAGCCTCTGCCTGGGTGTCACAGAAAAGCAATCAAATATTGATGAGACAAGCTAAGCATGGAAGTCCCCTCCAAACTCAGACTGTCACTCCCAAAGAAGTAATATTACAAGAGCTTTAGGGGCAACTAGAGGGGGCGTGTGTGGAAACAGAAGGAAAAATGAGTCAGCTGTTACCCAGCATTGCTTCAAGTAATGCCTCCATAGCTTTCCATCCACAAATTAGCCCAGGTCCACAGAAATA